ATAATTTTAAAGCACCTATTTTATGTCTTTTACATCAGTGAAACAAACTTTTACATCATTTTATAATCCTTTAGGAATTTGGGAGGCGATATTTAACTAGATATCTAGAGCATTTGTTACAAAGGGTGAAGCCAGTCTGCCAGTGAGATGAAGAGATAGGAAATCTCTTCTGCAATATATTTGCAGCCCAATGGGCCTTTATTGGTGAGAAATCCTATATGCCTGTTATTAGTTCATCAATTCAATTTAACCCACACTTTAGGGAACCACACTTTGGCTTCAGTCTCTTCTATTCTACATAATCCACTTTTTCAGTAAATCTGCTTCAGTCTGCAGTACCCTCCCAAAGTAAAAGTAATCCAGATAGCTGATGATAAGCCATATTTTAGTCTATGAGATACCTTTTCCATTCATCTCTTTTTGGTCTTTCTTACAGTCAAACCTCTGGTTTTAATCACCCTGCCAGGCAGTAAGCAAAAAGGAGAAAGATGGCCTTTTAGCCTAGGTGAGGTGTAACAACTCTTTCACAAAGAAATCCAATTGTATATTTTCTGCCAGGACACCATATGCCAATTGCTTGACTTAGGGAAAATGGAAGAAGGAATTAGTGAGAGCCTGCGGTGCAGATTTCAGAGGTGTTTTTGTTCTTCTCACTGCTCTCTCTTTATCTTTTCTCCTGACAGGGTTTTCTCCATCACACTATGACAATTTTTTGGCACTGGTGTTGAATACAGATGCAGACAAGTCCTGATGCAGTTGTGAAGCCTCTGGGTTTCTGGGTGACAGTTTTGGGCACTGCACAACTGCAGAGTGTGCCTTGTGTGACTTCAGCCTCCCAGCTGAACCTGTGCCCAGGTTGATTCTGAAGATGTGCAGTGTCTACCTTGTGTGTCAGTGGCCAGACACTGCACATTTGTGTGCATCCCTCAGTTTTCTGCAATTCTGCTTTTTGTGCTGTTGTACTACGGAAAGGCAGAAAATCTGAAACAGGTTAACAGCTCATGGAACACACATAGACTGTATTTGCACGGGACAGGTAACAGAGCATAGTCAGTCCAGATGCAGCATAAGCAACCCCTAAATACTCATCTTCTAGACATAATTCTTTGTCTGTATGAAGAAAATAAATATTATTCTCTTGGCTTCCATGTTTCTTTTGTGTATTTGCCTTGCAGGCTTTAGCAGTGTACATTTAGCACATTTATATCTCTTGCCTACCTGTACAAATTTCAGAAGGATTTCTGCCCTCACTTGTTTCCTCTCTGTTTGTGCCTCTCCTGATGCCTTTGTTTGTCTCCTGTGCAATATAAAACTGGTGCTATGAATATTGTGAAGTGCTGAAGGGCAATGCTGGCCTGAGTATGGACAATTCTGACAAATGTTAACAAGAGTGAAGCGAACTGGATAACAACTGGATAACAAACTTCAATCTAAATATTGTTTTTCCACATTGAGCATCTTTACTGCTGAATGGAGAAGTCTCCACTGTCTGAAGCCTCTGCTCACCCCACCCCTCTTCTCCCCCCCCCAAAAAAAATTAATTCTGGAGATATTTGTGTATTTTTCACCAGGTTAAGAACAGAAGGAGGTTTTCTTGTAAAAGCTGGGGAACATTCAGCAGGCAAGAAAAATCTATTTGGGTGTGGAATGAGAGCATATTAAGGAATTATTACTTAAATAGTTTAAGTACATAAATTCACAATTTCTCTAACTGGTAATTTTACTGTTTCTCAAGTAATAGTCAAGAAAACAGAATCTCTTGTGTATTCAGCATTGCCTAGTAAAAAAAAATTCACATGTGTTTACAGAAATAATTCCAATGTGCGGCAAAATTTGATTTTTTTAAAACTTTTTTTTAAATTTAATGATGGCAAAATAGATCTCTAAAGCATGTCTTGGTATTTATTGTTTTACATTAAATCACCAGAAGTGCTGTGGGATTTTATTCATGATTTAAAATGCATTGGTTGAAAGTTGGCATATAAATTGAAGGTATGTTATAAGACAGTACACAAGGGATAGCAAATTTAGTACCTTTAGAAGGTGAAACATTTTGTTCACTTAATTAGTTGAGGAAGGATAAGTTAAGTTAGAAAAATGAGTGTAGAAAATCAGAAGTGAATTTTAGTGCAAGTGTCCATCATAAATAAGCAAGAGTAAGCCAGATTTGGGGTTTTAAGAGATTTTTGCCTGCATTTTCGATCTCCATTTAATTGATTCATAAATCAATTAATTACTGTCACAAGACCCTAGGGCATCAGGAAATTGGGTTCAAATTAAAAAGAAAAGGAGGCAATTTGTTTTAAGATTGAAAGTTGAATGTTCAATCGAAGTTTAATCAGAAGTGACCCATTATTTGAAAAGTGGAACATCAATGTCGTTCTAATTTCACAGAATGCTTCATTAAATGAGTATTGAAAAGACCAGGTTAACTGATCATTCCAAAAGGACCACGAGACAAAGGGACAGTTTGGAAACTCACTTCCAAGTACATGTTATACTTGTTCATTTCTCTTCTGAAGAGCTCAAAGAGATACCAGATAATTTCATTGGGAATTCAAGGATTATTGGGGTTTTGTAAATTGTAAAGTTCGTTTGATAAAAACATAACTTAATATCAGAAGACAAAATGTTCTTAATCCATTTGGATAGCCAGGAACTTGAAGAAAAATTAACAGAACGTAATGGAAAGGAAAGGAGGAAATTTTCAAAGCACTAGTGGGAAGTTTAGCCTTCTAAATCTTAGGATGCTTTACCGTGGTCTGACCTTGCAAAGGGTTTTCCATAATTTAGTACCACCTCCAGAGCATTCCCAGTGCACTGAAGGCTCTGCCCTCTGTGCAAGGTGAGGGTGATGCTAATGCTGGGGCAGAGGTGATGGTTTGTGTTTAGGAGGTGAGTGTGGGAGAGAACGAGGACAACAACTGCAGCTTTAGCTCCTACTGTGGCTGAAAAGAGTAAAGGAATAATTCAGTTGGTTTTAATGGTTTTGGATTAGCAAGTCTTTCTCTTGGTGTGCATTTACTAGAAATTTGCTTAGCAGATTGCTGTTCAAAAAAAGCCAAAGTACAACAGTCACTTGTGAGCTGGGTGAAAGAACAAAGTGTGATTCAGTTTCAGCTCTTGGAAGGTGTTGCTCGTGCTGTTAAATGCTGAGAGGTGCTCTTGGAGCATCATCTGGACTCTTCTCTCTGCCATGTGCTCCCTGGGCTAAAGAGTGGGCTTCTGATAGTTGGAGAGCTCGTGCAGCTTTCTCTGGTGAGCATAGTGCTTGAAAAACAGCAAAAGGCAAGAGAAACAAAGTTGGCCTTTCTAGCAGTTCCTTATGGAGGAGCCTTTTATGAAGAAAGAAAAAAAAAAAAAAGAAAGAAAAAAAAGCAGCCACAGCTGTTTTAAACATTTGCTTTTAGAAGTGCAGAGCAAGATGATTTCAGATGTCAGCAAGTTATTTCAAACAGCAATCCTTTTCAATATCTTTGCAAGCAAGGTCTTGATTCCTTCACAAGCAAAATAACTTGTCACTTGTGATGTCCAAGTTGTTTTGATTCATTTGCTGACCATTGCCTGTGTGTGTTGAGTTCTCCAGAGGCTGAGGCAGCAGCAGAGGCTGCTGGGTTACCTGGCCCGGCTGGGGTGGAGGGAAGAGAATCCAGGTGTGCAGTGCCCCCCTCCTTTCCAGGCAGCTCATCCACCAAGCTTTAGATACAAAAAAAAAAAAAATTATATTAGAGCAATAATCTGACATTGTGTAGCAAATCTCTTTTGGTGGTCACTCCCTTCACTGACAGTGAGACACTCAAAAGTGAATATAAATAATGTAATTCTCTATAAGTTATTGACTGCAGGTGACTGATGATGAACAGCATTAGCACCTCCCCAGCAGAATGAGGATTTTCCTCAGCAGGCCCCAGCCAAATGACACAGCTCTGTAAACTGCTGTGCAAACTTGAAACAAAGATGAACGGTTATGAGTCAATGTTGAAGAATGTATTTTATCTTTGTAATAAATGACTCTGTGCATCTTCTCCCTGATTATTTTTACAAAAAAAAATAATAAATTCTGAGAGAAAAAATTACTTCATTTATTTTTCTGGTGCTTCTTTGACAAGTTATGTAACACAGAGATGCATCACTGAACACAAAACTTTATATGATGCGGTGCTAATTATGTATTTTATTTTTAAGAAAGTGGTGGGAGTTTGCCACCAGAAATAATCTCCTAGAAATGCTTGGAAATACCAATAGAATATTGATCATGAAGACATTAATTTGTAGAAAAAACATAACAATTAAATTTACCAGCAATGTAATGGAATTCCTGGCTTAGGCATTTGGGCATTTGAGTCTTAGAGGTTTGTTTTATATTGCTTTGCCTGTTTTTCCAGCCCAGTCTTTGGTATTGATTTCTTGTTTCCTCGTGACACAAAATATGCAAATAATGTCTTCCTTTTTTTTTTTTACAGTACAAGACGAGATGAACATTCTGTACAAACAATATATTAAATTGTCTAGTGTTAAAAGAGTGGTCAACCTAAAGTATATAATTTTAGGGAATTGGCAAAAGTCCCGTATAATGTAGATGGTATTACTGGATAGAGAAGTAGGATGGTTGCAGAAGATAAAAGAATATTCCTTGATTATTGTGGTTACATTCTGAAGACTTAAATCATAACATAGTTAATAAAATGTCTGATTGCTGCTTAGCTCAGAATAAAGCTTTGTGGATTTTTTTTTCTCCCTGTAGGCAAAATTTTTAGCTGCTTTGGGAAGCATAATTACAGAGACAACTGCCATACCAGAAAAAAAGTCATGAGTTAGGGGGGTTTTGCCTTTTTGGGGGGCTTTGACTCAATTAATGAGATCAGTGAAATAAGTTTCATAATCATCAAACTTTAAGAAAGATTTGAAGGGTTTTTCAATCTATCAACAAAATTCAATAACCAATTGAAAGAGGAAATCAATGTGGAATCCTAAAAAGCCCCTTTACTTCTTTCTCACAGAATTCCAGCTTTCTCTCTGAAGCTCTTTTTCCTGTACATGCAACAAAAACTGAAGAGCTGGATCCCTCCTTCAGCCTGCACGAGACCATTGCAAAGGTAAGAGAAATGGACATCTCACTTACACATACTTTCCTCTTGACTTTGCTAGTACCTTTAAATTTAATCTATTTTTTTTCCCTGTGAAAATTGTTTGAATGTAGTTAAAAATTCATCAAATCTCTTTCCAGAGTCTGAGGGACATAGTTGTGTGATTATTTAATGCATAGTTAATTTGTGATTTGCTAAATAGTGTGTGATGAACCACATGTAATGTGGATAATCTGTAATTTAGAATCTGCTCTATAATGTTGATCAACACAGAAAAATATTTATTAGCTATTTGAAGTATTTTGATTCTGTTTAAATAATTATATATTATTTTAAATAAGGTCACTGAGCTTTAGAATTTTCTTTGATAAAATTTGATGGAGATTGCACTAGGATATGCCTGGATTTCTATTTTACTTTTCAGACTGTAGTCCAGGAAGCTTTTAAAAAGATGAATAGTATATGCAGCAGTGGAGTATCATCCTCAGCATTTAAGGGAAATGCTATAATTTAATTAGTTAACTAACCACTTTTAATGATGTTCCTTAGTTTGAAATCTCCATATTTTCATCGTGGTAGATGGGACCAAGTTATTTCTTCACAAGATAATAAATCTCTAGCTTTATAATTAATTACTCATTTTTGAAAAAAGACAAAAAAACAAAAAACAACAACAGCAACAACAACAACAACAACAAAAAAACCCAAACAAATCAATCAAACAAACAAACAAAAAAACCCTCAAAAACTAGTGAGAAATTATCTTGTCATTAGAATTTCCAGTCCTCAGCTAGAAGTTAATGCTCCTCAGTGGGTACTGCCAAAGGACTGTTTATACACTTCATTGCAATTGCAGGTAGAGCAGATGTCATACCTGCTTCAGAAATTTTAGCTTTTAATTTCAAAAGTTTTTCACACAAAACTGTTTTTTTTTTATGTTAAGAGAAATTAAATATTTAAATATAGTAAGTTCAACATTTGGTAATTTTAATTGGTGCTTTTTCTTTTTCTCACAAATGGTTTATGAAAACATTTGAAACTATAACTTTCTATTCTTATTTTTCACTGCATATCACTCACAGTCTGCTTTGCCTGTATGGCCACTCAGGCTGGTGGAAAAGCTTGTGTTGATTTGAAGCCCTTCATCTCCATTAGAGAAATAGGATTTTAGTGTTTCTTAAGTTTTTTTCCATGTATATGGCTTAATACTAAATAACAGTGTAAAAGTTTCAACATAATTTTTTACATGAGGGTTAGTGTAAGTACAAATAATCAGCTAACTGTGCCTGGTGCTCTCTGACATCAGTGGTGCCCTAATTTCATGGAAACTTTGAAAAGGAGGAGATTGCTGAATGTGGCAGAAAAAAAACCTGATGAGAGATATGCAGCTGTTAAAGAGATGGATCTGTAATCTGAGTGCTTATAGGATCTAATTTGTCAGAACAATTCATAATAAGATCTTGACACTGGGAAAGTGGATTTAGAGTGGATTGCTGGGAGAACCATGCTGACCTGAAGCATTCAAAGAAAGAGGAATCTGTAAGCTTCCTAGTGGTAAAGAACTGAAACATTCAGAGTAGAGTAGTGTGATGCAATGCAAAACTTGGTGGTATCTTAAGTGAGATTTGCAGACCTTGTAATTTCAATATATTAATATATATAGTGTCAAGTAATAAAACAGAAGAGTATATGCCTGTTTGGCAGAAAATAGATTTTCCCACCTGACCAGAAGTCAGATAAAACTCTCTTTTTATCAAATGCATACTCAGAAAGGTATATGCTATTTTTTAACAAATTTCATCAGTGTTGTTCAGCACGGTGTTTCATGGTAACCAGTCAATTCAACCAGTAATTAACAGTTTGAAAATAATTTTATATTCACTGTGTGCCCACCAGAGCATCCTCCTAAGACTGGGATCATGCAGTTCTGAAAGCTTGAATGGCAGACCCCTAACAGGGGATGCCACTGCAGCCACTCACCAGGACCAGCCATGAAATAATCTCATGTTGATTTTTTTACTCTGTCAGGCACCAAAGTCATGAAAGGAACACCAGATGTGGCATAATTGCTTTTATGATGAGTTATGGGTGCTGACAGACAACTCTTGAGAAAGTTATTAGTGAACCTGATTATTCTACACTCCAATTATGGAATTGCATAAAGTAGAACTATTCTAATGCAATTAACTTCTAAACATTAAACAAAACAGCAAGAGGGAGGAGTGTTTCCATTTCCAGAGGAAATAAGGGGGTTTTGTGCAACATACTGTGATATTTCCATTTTTTTAAAAATGCAAACACTTCCAAGGAGATGACAGGCAGGTTCTCTTCCTGAAGCAAATGGAATGAAGAGGCTGCTGGACAATTGATAAATTAAAATCATATTTTGACCACAGATAAGGTGCAGTACAAGAATGAGGCATTTTCTAACAGGATCTACTGTTCTGTTCCTTTGAAGCACGGAAGGGATATATATTTCCATTTCCTGGTGTTTAGTCCCATTAATTCTCCAATACAGGGAACACTCATTCAAATTGGCATAACTTTGGTAGTTTATTTCTCTGTACTCTCTGTAAAAATGAAAATCTATGGTTTGGTGCATACTCTACCAAGTATTTTAATCTTCCTGCATGGTGTCTGCAAATCAGCTTGTTTTTTGGGTTGGTTGGTTTTTTGTTTGTTTGGTTTTTGGGGGGTGTTTGAGTTTTTGTATGTTTGTTGGGGTTTGTTTTTTTTGCATGGCAAATAATGCAATATATCTAAATTAACATGAAGGTCTCAAAATCTTAAAATCCCAGAGACTTTTAGGGTTTTGCAGATTTTTAATCAGTAGAATAGTAGTGTGAACAGAATGTCTGTGTGGCAGTTTTATCAAAGGCATTTCTAACAGTGTATTATTCCTGGTGTGGATATTTCAACAGAGTATGTTCATATTCCTGTTACTCCTACTATATTGAGCCCTTTTGGGAATCAGATCATTCTTGAATAAGCTCTGTGGCGTTGTTCCTGGGCATGCCAATAGCTTCTGCATCAAGGCATCTCTACACCTGTACTGAGGTATTTTCTATTTTCATTCAGAAATTGCCTCTGTGTCGAGACAGATTTGGCAGAATTGTTTGAGCAGCAGAGACACAGTATTATTCCAGTCAGAGTTACAGCACCTAAAGTGTTAAAGACTTCATTCTGTGTGTGCAGAACTCATCTGAAATATTGAGCAACCAGAAGTCTGATGCACCTGAAAATGTCTGATACCCAAGCCAAGCCCAGAAAACCCTTTGTCCTTGCAAAGCCCAGGCAGATATTTGGCAGCCTTCCCCCACATCACTGTGTGGAGTGCTAGCTGGAAATTTTTCCTATATGCTCTGATTTCCATCACGAAAATGTGGCACTTTGGAGTGTCAATTTTCACAGGTAATTTCTCCAATTAGCTTTCCTCAGTGATGTATTCTGTTGGATGTAATTTTAAAAATCCCTTTCTTCAGTCGCGTGTGCCAGACTTTCCCATCATCTCTCAGTCTCTTCATCAAAGGCACGAGTTCTGCACAGACCAGCAGCACTCTCATGTCTTTTTGGAGGGGAATTATGTTATGAGTTTGTTCTTTCAAAATGAATTCTTCAAGCCTCCAGTCAACAAGCAGGAATATGGACTGGGGTAGGTGACAGAGATGCTGAATGAGGTCAACAAAGCAGAAGAGCAGGCCTCAGTGTATGAAGTGAGGACCAAGGTGGGGGCCTGATAAATATCCATATTTCACAGTCTGCTGTTGATACTGAATTTTTAGATGTGGAGTTTGACCTTGTTGTGAATCTACCAGAAATGTCTGGGGTACCATTTGTGTGCTCTGTCACACAAGAAAACACAGTTTTTGGGCTGAGAAATTGCACTACGACATGGGGGCTCTTAATTTTTCTCTTTGTCTTCCCACAGCTGGCAGCAAATCATGTTTTTTTTCAGCTCTCTCATCTGCCCAAGGTGATGGAGCAGCATAGGTGCAGTGTAATGTGCCATTTGCTGTAGTTACTCCCTAAGTAAAATAATTTACTTTTTTTTTTCTGACCGACATCTCATATTCTGGCTCTGAGAATCTTACTGGTATTTATGGTATTAGAGATGTTCAAAGCACAACTCTATTGTCTGCGTTGACACTGTGAATACAAACAAACAAAGTCTTTTTTTTATGTTTGTTTTTGCAGGTGTTTTCCTGCAAAGCAGCACAGGCACCCATATTTCACAGGAATGGTTTAGATTTAGCACATATTCTCTTAAGCACACAAGTGAGACTCTGTTTTACCTTTAGCCTTCGTGCATGAAAGAACATATAATCCAGTTCAAGCAGAGGGTAAATACAAACCTGCTGAAAACTCCCTTCTACCAATGTGTATTTTATTCTGTGGCTATTGTCAGCAGCAAGAAAAACAAGAGCAAATCTGGTGATAGAACCAGGCACAGTGACTTTGGGGACGTTCTATTAATTGTGGTGAATAGGAAAGTAACAAGATTCAAAGGGGGAAAAAAAGCTGTCTGGGATTTTCTCAGCATTAGATGTGAGAGAGGTGACTTTGCTGCTGAAGACATGAGTTTTTCTGACAGACACTCATACTGTGTTTGGCCAGGCAGCATATTCTCTATCTGCTCCAGCCTAGTTAGGGGAGGTATGCTTGGAATTTTTCAGTAGTTCTTTGTTCCTAAAAGCAAGTAGCCTCAAGGACTCTTGCACTTTATATTTGAACTCTGATGGATAAAGACTAGGTAATAAAAACAAGCTGAAATTGCAGAACTCCTGGTAAAAATTTGATGAACCAGCTGTACTGTCCAACACAGCTCCACTTGGTTAAGGCAGGTATTAAAAAACAGCTCTATTCCCCTACCCTCTGAAATTTTCCATATCTTTTCTGCTGATATGCTAATATGCTTCCTTCAAAATGGAAGAATTATTACAGGACAGAACTAATTATATTTCCTCCTCCTGTGACATACATTCGTGAGGTTGTGGGAAGATGTCAAGGCT